CTGAATGAAAGACAACCTGGGAACGAGTGGAACGACGCCAATAAATATCAAAGGAAGCGAGGGGCGTCACCTTATTAACGAGTACGCTAATGGTGAATGGTATCTGGTACAGAACCTAGCGTCCTATTAAAGGGACATGGGTTCTTATTTACGGATGGTCACCTTACAGAGATTACCTACTCACGTGAATGAGAAAAGAGTGACCACAGGTGGATCGTACCGGGTGGTCTCGGAGCTGACCCAAGAATCGCGCTGGTCTCGGATAAATGTGGGCCTGCGGAAGAACATGGGTGACAGCATACAGAACCCATTTGTGGTGTGCCAAGCGCGAGAGGACGAAAACGGTTGTACCCGCCCTGTGGAGCGTTCCGAATTACTCAACCGTCGTCCAAGACAACTGCTGAGAAAACTCTCGCACATCTGACAGAACCAATGCAGTACAACGTCTGTAAGTCTCTTAAAACTGTGTAACCTGATATCGAGATCGGCCTTGGGCGACATGAAATCGTTACCATTATAGCAGCTCTTTCTTCGAGAGCTCCGCTACACAGACAAAAGGAGTGTTATTGCACACAAAAGAAAATCGAGCTGACGTAAACGAGGGGGGGGAACCTTCCTTAGGGAAGAAACGCTAGCACCCTGCAACGCGGCTCAACCATCGCACACCGCACGGGACGACGCAGCAACCCCGCAAGAGTCCACAACTTTGCGCATACCCAGAGTGAATACAAGGAGCATTGCTCTGCTTCCGCAGCAAGGGTAATGCTGATGGACGTTGTTTTATTTTTTCGGTCCTGCAGGCCACATGAGCCAACATAGACGTCTCTGCCAAGCCTCTGCGTGCCAAGGCACCAGGCTCAGAAGAAGCAGCTTTGTTTCAGCTCACTCGCCCGCACCGGTAAATCAACACAGCCCCTCACATAAAAAGGCATCGAACCCTCTAGCTCGCGATCCCGTCCACGCACAGTCAAGCCACTGGGGATGGTGTGGAGAGGGGAGAACAGAAAGATCTGCATCAGAGGGGAGAGCATGTCTGGGAGAGAAGAGCTCCCCGCCAGAGGCCCCTCAGCCACAACGACGTCCAGAGAATTCGTAATCAGAAAAGGAGATTCGCAAGGGGGATGGCGTGTGTTAGGGAAAAAGAGCCCTTCAATACGATAGTTGAAGGCCACGTGAAAGCATGTCAAAATGTATGGAAACCAGGCCGTCATACTCGACGTAGGTCGTATACCGAGGTGTAGAGAGTAACCAGAAGGCGTACGGAGCTGTGGTCACATGACGGAGACCGAATGGCACATCTATCACCCACATATTGGTGGGTTGAACGCATTAGGAACCTCTATGCACCGCAAAGGTATTACAGATAGCATTCAAACTCAAAGCAAACGGACACAGACCTCTTCTGATAAATGCCAGGGTCTGGCTACAAAACTAAAACCTGATTCTTAGAATATGTATGCACAACACAGAAATCTTAACACATTACTGATGACATATGATCATGGTATGTATGGGGGACGCTCAGCAGTACAGATGTGCATGCCCAATGAATAAAGAACAGACACTGTTGTGTAGTAAAATATGTTGGCAGGCAAGGGCGCCGTGCCAGAAGCATTGAGATTTGTACATGTGGCAGTACATGGTAGTGCTATGTAGCATTCAGAAAAAAGCCCATGTGAAAAGGGTGAAAACGTAAGATTATCGCGTCTGCAACTACTGCAGGTGTCAGTGAAGCAACCACACAACTGGAAAGAGCACCTGATAGACACAAGACATTGTCCTTTTCTCACACACCATCAAGGCCAGCCAGGAACACTGCCGTCTCCTTGAACGCCTGCCACCAGATGTTGTCGTCTCTGCTCTCGGTCGTAACTACTCTCGTCTTACCGGCACGCCCCATAGGGAGTCTTAGAGCATACAACGAAATTTTACATATCGACGATGAGGTAAGTAATCATTTCCACTTGTGCACCAGGGTATTTTTGGAAGTGCGTTTTCTGCTGACAACGTGAGTTGGGGGTAAGCCCGAATAGAGATGCCTCATCTCATCTGTGTGTTGGTCCGAAAATGTCCATATGGCGCTTGCCTGTGTACTAAATGTACTCCGACTGTATGTATAGGGGGGAAAAAAAAAAGAGAAAGTCGCCTTAAATGGCCTTCATGCGCTGTAGGTTCGTCTTGTGGACATACGAATGGCCGTGCTGAACGGGGAAAGCCACAGCGACTCGTGGCGTTTGGCAGTAACGCGGAGTGGTGAAGCAGGGATGATCAACATCCTCCAGCGGTCTAGGAGGGTCCTGACTTCTTGCTTCTCGCTCCGCAGCACTGGGACCCTTACATATAATGAAGCTATCTGTATTAGTCACCGTGGGCAGCAAGATATTTGTCTATCTGATGCGGAAGGGTCGGCCCCAACAGGGGCAACGTCCATTCATTGGGAGACATATGGAACTCCAAACAGGGAACACTATGGGACCAACTATTTTGTCCTTGTAAGATTTATCCCATCGAGGAAGTCGGGAGAGTACCCATTAATCTGAAGGTTACCACACAATGTATCGTACAGGGGCCACCCACAGACCAACAGCAACTACCCCAACATTGTGTGGTCCAGGTTGCAGTTAGGGGCCCGAGATGATTAGAGTGGTTTTATGATTGTGTATTGTTCTAACAAACAGGAACTACTTTGACCAGTGTATTTTTAAACTGAGCTTTTTCCAGACTTGGGGATATTTCCCCAGAAAATGTTGTGTTTAAACACTCTTCCAATCCACCCCATCTCCTCCTCTTCATCTCCCTCTCCCTTCTCCGTCTCTTCTCCTCTCCTTCTCCTCTCCCCTTCATACCCGCGTATCAGCACATAGGTTATAGCACACACTAAACCAGCAGTATTCGGACCAACAAGCAGTGCAACTGTGGGGAAAGAGATCCAACTGGGAATGTATCCAGAGTCCCTTGGCCCCATGATATTCACCTTCACTGGAGCTGGCAATGTTTCCCAGTCAAGTATATAACACAATAGTGCATGCTGTGGTAGTGAGTTGAGATGCAACCGACAAATGCACACAGATTTTTGTCATGAAACATTGATATTGCCTTGGCTTCCGTCATCATTTGCCTCCTTTACCATCAGTCAGACTGATACCTTAGGGCAATTATCTATGGATGCAAGATTGCAATGCTGGCTCTACTTTGTCGGCTCTTAAACCTATCAATTTCTTATTGCCGAGTGCCTTGCACAACTCAAACCTATGCATGCCTTTTACTAGCTTGTGTCAGACTCACTGCTTTCTCTCTCTCACGCACACACATACCCACATAGCTAAACATTGGTCTCAAACGAGAGAGAAAGCCATCTATGCATGCGTATACGTTAGACACTGTTCTTTGCCTGTGTAGGGAGCTCAGGGGGTGTTCAAGGAGCTGCCGCATGAGTACGTCTCACCTCTTGACCTCCAGAATGTCGTGGAAACTGGAGGTATGTACTACATTATGGTACATTTGTACCGGAAAACCTTACATTTTTGATAGAGGAGGACCACCAGTTAATTGTGCTCCCAGTAGTGACGTATGTATTATGAAGTTCAAAATTTCATCATTAAGTGGCATATTTTAGAGAAGCTCCTTTCACTTGTATATATAGTACAGGAAAGTTTTCAACCCCGAAATGTTTCCACTCTACATAATGAGCCATTGAGCGTTATTCTGTTGTGACTGCAGATTGCCACAAGGTGTATGCCACCGTGGTGGACAAGGCTGACCACCTCTACCGACTGGCAGGTGGGGACTATGACGATGAGGAGTTCGAGAAATTCCCTGACAGATACGACTCAATATTTGCCGACAAAGTTAGTCTCATTCAGCTTTATAGTACAAGCAACACTCCTAGTAATTATCCATCCTAAAACTTTGGTACATTTGAGAGATTTTGTGAACACTTTAGTGCACCACGCATGCCAGCTGACCACGTTCGCTTAACTTTTTCACAACAAGTTTAGTTATGTGGTATGAATCAAACTGTGATTCGTTTTCCTTGTTCTAATGACTGCCTGTATGTGTACAGATAGCACCGTACACGACGTGTCTGGTCAACGGAGTGTTCTGGGCCCCCAACACGCCTCGTCTCCTCTCCATAGCCCAATCCTCCTCCCTTCACCCCGTCCACATGGACACCTCAGTCCTGAAGCTCCAGGGTGTCCCCGCCCTGCCTCAGAGACTCCTGGCTGTGGCTGACATATCATGTGACCTCCATGTGAGTACAGCAACCATGGTTACGTACACAGTAGTGGAGTAGTAATTCTTCACGAGGGAATAATCACATACATGAAGAGGTGGTGTAGCCAAGAGGCAGGGCAAGATTCAAGGGTAGGTGTGTATTTGTTCCAACTAGGAACCAGTCATCATACCATAAAGTGTTCTGGCCCATCTGCCTAAACAAGTAACTTTGAATGTGTTAAGGTTGACTGTTTTTGGTGGTGCAGGGTTCACTAGAGTTCATGTCCACGGTGACTACCATTGACAATCCCTTCACCATGTACAATGTACACACCGACTCCACCTCCCACGAGTGAGTGAAATGTCCACCATCCATCATTTAGGAAATTACGTATCACTGGGAACATATTAAACATCTAGCAGAAAGCTTTCATGGCTACCATGAGTCGTGTCAAGGGACAAATGTTTATGACTACATGATTGTGTATGTGCATTAGCAAAATTTTCTTAACAAATTGTGAAAGTTCTTCCCAATGAAATTTTACCTGTGTGCTGATATTTTTGTGTGACAACTGTTCATTTTGTCGCTAGCTACCTTACCTTCTCACTGTGTATGTGTGTGTGTGTGTGTGTGTCAGCATCTCGGGGAACGGTATACTGCTCATGTCCATCGACAATCTTCCAGCTCAGCTACCCAGAGAGGCCACGGACTACTTTGGCAACAGACTCTTCCCATTCATCTCTGAAATGGTATGCACACTCACAATCTTTGTGTCCTTGAAAAAAGTACCGTATGTGTAAATGTCAATGAACAAATTTTTCAGCCAACTACAAGAAGCATAAGCAGTGTTCATATTTGCTCAACATCATGACGTGTTAAATTTCTACTTTAGCTGAGACTGGATGGTAGAAAGAGACTGTATGACTATGAAGACATTTCGACCTCAGTGAAAGATGTAAGCAGCTAGCATAGCCAGGTGTAGAGTATGCATTGCTCAAACCTTTGTTGCACCACTGTCTTCAGGCTGTCATTGCATATAATGGAGAACTGACAGAGAGGTACAAGTACATCGAAGAGCTCAGATCTACAAAGTAGACCAGACCTTCATCTATATTGTATATACACTATATCAGGCAGACATTATTGTGTGTCACTCCATGTGGCTGTGGATATTTTTATTGCACCACAAGTAGAGATTAAATTTCATAGAGTAGAGATCTACGAGCTCAGATCTATATACCCCATCACTTGTGTGTGTTGTTGCATTTGACATTTCTATTGCAGCGATCACATCATTAATTTCCTTGTAAGACATCCACTATGAATGAGAGTTACAGTATATAATAGACACTAGAAATGGAACACTTTAATGGTAAAGAAAATTGCATACAGTCTACTGCAGTTGCCAGACAGCAGCTCCAGGACCGGGAGAAGTTGCAAACAGAGCGCGAGATACTACGTCCTCCGAGACCGTATCACCGTAGAACCCGTCCCTCACTCCTGCCAGGAACGTCTCGAGGTCCCGAGAACGGACCAGGGACACTACGCACCCTCCCCAGCCTGCCCCAGTGAGTCGAGACCCCAGAGCCCCACTCGACTTGCAGACGGCTACGAGAGAGTCCAACTCCTCACAGCTACACTCGTACAACTTACTGCAGCTTGCGTGGCTCTCGTCCATCAGTTCCCCAAGCCTAACAGCAGTAGCGTCTACTGTAGTGCATTCGCCATTGCCTGTAGCATCAGACAGTGCATCGGTGTGGCTTTTGTTTGCAATGTCTCTAAACTTGTAGACGCGGTCTGCTTCTTCGAAGACATGAAGTGCTCGTTTGTGCAGTTCGAAGCTCTGCAAGTCTTGGGTCATGTTGTTGAGATACTCAGACTTCAGTTGGTCGTCGGTTATTTCGAGATGTGAGCAGATCTCCTCCCGAGTGTAGGCCTCCCTGTGGAGGCAGGAAGAGACCACCCCTGTCATTTGTTCTAACGAGAGACCTAGAGCCGTTTGTAGTTGCAGAAGCTTGCGAGTGTTTTTCCAATCGAGGCTCTTGGTCTTTGCGACCACCATCGCTCCGAGACGGCACTCTACGACTCTCACGTTAAAAGAGGCAAACGCCACTTTGTTTGCCTGGATGAGGGTGTTTGAAATGACAAAGACCGTGTCACAGGGTAGGTCGACTTCGGCGGGTCGAATCGGGTTAAATTCTATGAGCATGGCCTTGTTGCGCTCGCCAAGGAAAGAGATTGCCTGGTCCATCCCCCCACCCTCAGTGCCAATGTATCGCTCGCATTTGGCGCAGAGCTCAGCCAGCTCTTGCCTAGTGGGCATAACTATTCCGTTAGCGTATGCAGTAGCGAGGGCTGCGCAGCAGACCAGAGCCGACGAACTGGACAGCCCTGCACTGGGCGGTACGTTACCGTCCACCACCACGTCCATGCCTACAGGTTCTTGCACACCCAAGTCGTACACGACGCCCTTATATCCGCAGAAAAAGTAGTTGTACCACTCGTGACCCTCAATAGAGGTGGACTCGAGAGTTGAACGCGAGTGCTGCGAATATGTCTCGAGGGTGTTAGAGAGTTGTAGGAGGTTCTCGTCACTGCGGCCGCACGCCATTGCAACGTCTTGTTCCACGGCCATAGGCAGGACAGCATAGCCCGAGTAGTCGATGTGTTCTCCTATGATGTTGACTCGACCCGGTGCTCGGGCTAGAAAGTCAGGCTTACGGCCGTGCCGCTCTTCAAACTTGACCACCAGACGATCATATCGCTGCTTGTTTTGCTTACTTCCCTGTGAGAAGTCGTCCATGGACTGAAACACGGTGGGAGAGGCGCCTTGCAGACGAACTTTCTTCGCCGGGTTTTCTTTGCCTTCCGCCATTTTATACTCCGGCGCATGCGCACTTAGCTGGACAAATTGCGCATGCCCCGACTCTCTCAGCCAGCCCCGTTCGTTTCGCACAGCTGTATGCTGCCCCTAGAATATGTAGCAAGCCAAGCTTCCATTGTGTGTGCACCATAATTCTACACCCAAATAATGACCCAAAAACTTTTCCCATTCTGGGAACGAGTACAGAAAATGCAGTTTATAGTCCCTCAGTCAGAGTGGTGTTCAGGTTGGGGTGAAAATCCACGAGCTGATGAGAGTTTCGAGAGGGAAGACTGAGTATCTGAGACTCCATCTTCTTCCTCTGAACTACTGTACTCCCCATCTTCCTCTCCCTCCTCTAGAACTGTCGATGTTCCCGGCATGTCTTCTGGACCTGACTTGGAGGTGCCGGTACATGGACGACTTCTGCATGTGATTGAAGCAGAAAATGTGGAAGTATATATAACATTATACAAAGTGAAACTTGTTGCGCGAGACAAAAGTATAATGCACCTTCAATGCATGACATTGCATGCTACATCTTGTATATATAGACCCATCATTTAGACTTTTATCTCAAACGTTAGACGTGAATGTTGGCCTTAACAATAGCCACCAGTTGTGTATATACAGTATCAGGGTTCTCACATGGTTAAAGAGTTGTTCGTATGAGCTGATGTCTTTCCCAGCCACAGCAGCCTCCACTCGCCTCTGGTGTCTCTCCCCAAATTCTGACAGCTATTGTACAAACAGGACACTGACACAATATGATAGTCCTTCAGGTCAAAGGTGATACACTGAAGGACACTGACACAATATGATAGTCCTACAGGTCAAAGGTGATACACTGAAGGACACTGACACAATATGATAGTCCTACAGGTCAAAGATGATACACTGAAGGACACTGACACAATATGATAGTCCTACAGGTCAAAGGTGATACACTGAAGGACACTGACACAATATGATAGTCCTACAGGTCAAAGGTGATACACTGAAGGACACTGACACAATATGATAGTCCTACAGGTCAAAGATGATACACTGAAGGACACTGACACAATATGATAGTCCTACAGGTCAAAGGTGATACACTGAAGGACACTGACACAATATGATAGTCCTACAGGTCAAAGGTGATACACTGAAGGACACTGACACAATATGATAGTCCTACAGGTCAAAGATGATACACTGAAGGACACTGACACAATATGATAGTCCTACAGGTCAAAGGTGATACACTGAAGGACACTGACACAATATGATAGTCCTACAGGTCAAAGATGATACACTGAAGGACACTGACACAATATGATAGTCCTACAGGTCAAAGATGATACATACACTGAGGGACACTGAAATTCAGGGTACCATTACGTACAGAGGATGAGGATGAAAACCTATGTAATTTAATGGCAAACAAGAATTTCGTGGAGGAAACTTCTAAAGATTGCAAATTTCACAAGAAAACGTTCACAGACAGTTACATACATAGAAAGCCGGGAAATTCTCACAGTCCAGTAATCTACAGCTGCACTGACCGGTGTTCTGGTGCCCAGTCTCTTGCCGGGGTCACTGCCCGACACAGGTCGACTGCTACCTGCCAGGGATGAGGGAGGTCTGGACCACACCTGTGCCATTCCCTGTGGAGATATATAGTATACACAGCAAACTAAAATTAATGGCACGATTGGCCAAATTTGACTGGGTCCAGCGGGAATATCCTTACGCGGCATCAGAAATACGTTACCTCTGTAAACATGTTTCCATTGTCACATTGACCCATGGACTCCCTCTAAATTCATTGGCACTATTATACTATAATATCTCACCCAGTTTCTAGCACATTAAGTCTTATATAATCCCATATGTGCAAGAAGGTTTGGTTACGCATAATTATGCATCGGAGCATGAACTACTGCAAATGCAGCACTGTCACGAATTATACTGTATGTATACCTTGATTTTGTTGGCCACCTCTGGAGCATGGTATGGTGATGACGGAGGTTTTGGCTGACTAGATTCTCTTTCTCCCTCTCTTGCTCCTTCCTTTTCTTCCTCACTTCCACCTTCTCTTGCTGGTTCATCTCCTGCCTCACCATGACTGGCTTTAAGCTGTATAATTATTATAGGTACACTTGAATCTCCTGATGAAAGGTTTTGTGAAAGTTTTATGCTTTGCATACCTGACAAATCAAAATTTCCACTATACTTGCGTCTAGTAAGTGCAGAACTCTCACATAATGTAATGTGCAAGTTGGGGAGCTCATTGCCTATATAGCTGACCCCCTTGGCATTATCCTTCATCTGGGTCACCTACCAGTGTACTCTCCTGGTGTGTGACCAAGGTGGGTGTCGGCATCTCGGGAGTGGGTGTGGTCTGGTGTGAGGTGGTGGTGACAGACGTGACGGTGACCTGGGACATGGAGAGGGGGGACTCGGGGGTGATATCTCCATACGCCATCACCAGAGCCTGCAGCTGCTGGTAGCCTTCACGTATACTGTCTGCACAATGTCATCACAATGTTCTTGGTTAAAGAGCAGACCACCTCACACAACTTAAGTAAAGCATAACAGTAACCTTTAATGTTTTGCACTGCCTGAGTTAGACCCTTAAGAAGCTTGTCATTACTTTGGCCTGTGTAAGAACTAAGCTCAGTTGTCAGGCTAGCAGAGGGGAAAAGGCAAAGATGAACGCTTTCTCCCCATTCATTTTTTAAAAGCTACTGCTTACAGATCCTTTCCCCACTGCCAAAAATCCATGTCTACTGTGGATAAGTAATGGGAGACAGTTGTAAACCTGTGTTGATGGCTGCGTCAAAGAACCCGGGTCTGTCCTGGTGGAGCGTCTGGTAGGCAGTCACGTCATCCACTGCCATCTTGATCTCCCCCTCACTGTACTGACCTGATGACCTCATTCTCTGTGCGTGGATCTGTACGAATGTGAGGTCAATTGATCAGACTATAAGTCTGGAGAACTTCTAGTCGTTTGTACGAGATTCAACCCTGAGCACACAAAATTTAATTAGCTGAATCTTTAAGAATGAATCCTATGATGAAGGTGTATTACACTAGAGTGTAAGGTCCATTATATGTACGTATGTAAGTACCTGTGGGGTGAGGGGGATGGTGAGAATGTAGCGTGGCTCAAAGTGAGTGTTCTTCATAGTCAAAACTCCCTGCATAGTATGGACCCACATATGCACATCATGGTATGTATATTATAGAGCTGATGATATATAACCCACAAATATAAGCCTCAAGGGAGAAGAAACGGCAAAGATCTGCTCTCTGTGCAAGTTGCTCACACTCCCAATTAACCTCTCCTAACTAGCTATACAGGCAGTGCTTATTTGTTTCTATGTTGTACGTGTGTTTGTTGTTGCGGGTATATATATGTACATCATGTTGTGTGTGTGTGTTGATAAAGTACGAGACCCGAGGGGACGTACAATGTACGTACTTGAAGGGTCATGTGAGTGACACAGGCCAGTCCTTGGTGGGCCACCTGCTCCACAGCTGCCATGGTCAGACCATACCTGTGACCCCCCACCTCGTGGGTCTCCAGAAACTCTCCCTGGAAAACGTGACAACAGAAGGGTGCACTCTTATTGCAAATTTTACGTGATCTGTGGACACATATTTTAGCTGATCCCTATATAGGGTCTTGAAAATGCACTATACTCACAAAATATGGTGCACTTTAATTAGAGGTCCTTCTACGTGTAAATTTCCTAAAGTATAGTGGTGACCCCAAAGTGGTATGTGTACAAGTAGCCAGGTGACTTTACCAAAGAAGCAATTACATAGGAGCTTTAGTGAGAGAGGAAATGAGGGAAAAGACAGAGAAGACGATGGACAGAGGAGAGAGAGAGAGAGAGAGAGTGAGTGTGAAAGAGAAGGAGAGACAGACGAGAGAGAGAGAGAAGAAGAGTGCTCACTGATATGAGAGCTCTGTTAAACGTTCCTTCGTCGATGAAGTAGTAGTCTCGTCCATGGCCCTGTCTTGGTCCCTGGGGCTGCGTCGTGTGGGACACTCTGCAGTAATACAGTAATATGGTGTATGTATATACACAACTCTCTAAAATAGGTACACGTCATTATCTGTACCACAAGTCACCGTAATGTGAAAAAAGGTCGTTTGTAAACACACACACACACGTGTAATGTTGTGGGTTGAAGGCTCACTCACCCGAGGCCAAAGAAGCTGGGGAACTCATCCACCAAATGTCGAACAAACTGCTCATGCCCAGAGCCTGGAGGTCCACACATCACCAACATGGGGTAGGGTTCGTCCAGTCGCGTCAGAGTACTGTAGGAGGAGGAGGAGAAGGAACTGATTTGGAGAGAGCAACAGACAGATGGAAAGGAGAGAAGGAAGATGAAATGCTACCTGCTACATTCGGTCAATTGTGCGGTAAGAAATGTAATGAGAGATTGTGTCAAATTGTGACAAAGTTGATTCATATTCCCCCAATTTCTACCTTACGCATTAGTACGTATGTTAGGCAGTGGAAGTCTATCATACTGTATGTAGGCACTTCCTACAGTGGGCAGCATTTCGGCAACACCCAGATAGAAAGGGGAGCAGTGACAAAACTACTATTCTAGCATTACACACTGCATATTATAGACGTATATGATGGACGTATCAATGTATCAAGTGACTAAAGGAACTTCATACGCACTGCATCAAGTTTTACTGTTGCAGTATACACGTTGACAAAAGAAGGGAAGAAGGAGAGAAGGAAGAAAGGAAGGAAGGAAGGATGGCGGGTGAGGAAGATGTGAACCTGAATCTGAGAGAGGCTGGCTTGTTCTGCACGGCCAGCTTGGTGTTGGTGCGGTGGTCCTGTGCAGCGACTACCTCGAGCGGAGGACTGAACCTGTTCACAGCAGACACCTAGGGAAAAGATAAACAACACTCCACGTCTTGCCAGGTTGTATATATACAATGTCAGGATGTTTGCCTGGGAGATCAAGGTACACATGTAGGAACATGAACCCTCCAGCTACATTGTATTATGTGATTGTGTATCAGGCTGCCATATCCTATTTCTCAATGTACAGCAACAGCATCTTGTACTTGATAGAAACAAAGGCATATGAAAACACCTGCTCACCTAGATCGCACATTTGAGTTTGCACAAAGACCTGCGCATCATTGTAAATGGTGCAACGTGTTAGGCTGGGTTCGCAATACGTCGCATTGCCCTGTCATGCCGTGCGGCGTCGTGTGCCGCGAAGATACTATCCTCGCAACGCGGCAATGCGGCAAGGCGCAGGCAATGCGACATGAACCCAGCCTTAGATTAGAAAGCTGTCCCATTGCTGGTTACTTGTGCTTCTACAGGTTGCCTTGTTTATTCATACAGGCTAGAGTTGACGGGCATATTCCCTGACCTTTTCCTCGATTCTGACAGTCTGGCCATCCAGTCGTGTGAGAAATGGGAGGTGGAACACTGCATATGATCGATACTCCGGCACAGTCTGCACAAATAAAACACACATCTAACCGTCAAATCATCATTCCCTTATGTGTACATTATGTTTACAATCCTAAGGTACACATTAGCACACATTGCTTGAGTTACATGGGAGATGTGATCTCTGAAGAACCTTGCACGCGTTCTATAAGTGTGTGTACACAAACAGTAATAAGAACTCCTAATGTTTGTTTGTGTGTGTGTCCTACGTATGTACGTCAATAGGGTTCTGGTTGAGGGAGAGAACACGCAAGTTTTTCAGTTCTTTCAAGTGAAGTAACTCCTAATGTTTGTTTGTGTGTGTCCTACGTATGTACGTCAATAGGGTTCTGGTTGAGGGAGAGAACACGCAAGTTTTTCAGTTCTTTCAAGTGAAGTAACTCCTCTCGTTCCACAACCTGCACAGTATGGTGTGAGTTCATAATGTTTGTGTAAGATACAGAGCCTTTACAAAAACATATGCTCTTTGTAAATACAGTTACGTATATACACGTTCTTGTGTGTACATACATACGTGGTGGTATATATGTTAGCATGAGCTCACATGCAGTTCGAAATCATGCACAAAGTCATGTGATAGGGAAGATAGGATTACGCTCTCCTGCAGCGGAGTGCGTGAGATGCTGCTTCCTTACTCCCAAATCAAATGCATATGTTCTATATATTATATATGTTTGTGTATGTGCAGCATGGTGGTATCTTTACCGTGAGCTAAATTCACTGTCTGTATGTATTGCACAGAAGCATGTGATAGATTGTACACCGGTGTGTGTGAGCTCACAACGTTCTCCTGTAGGTATATTTCCATGAGAGAGGAGTGCCCGCATAGACCACCCAATCTTGATATCTGGTTACCGGACAAATCAATCACCTGTCGAGACCACGAGGGAGGGGTAAAGGAGAAGAGGGAAAATGAGAAGGAACGGGAAGAGGGAGGGGGGAGGGGGGGATTAAGATTCTGGATGATGTATGTGTGATACATATCGATCCAGTGTTGTTATTAGACTCACCATTAGGTCAGTGAGTGTTTCGAGATTTTCAATCTCAACAATATTGTTCCCACTCTGAAGGAGAAATAACATACAAAGTTATGTACACAAAGTTATGTCATTTTCATACCGGCACTGGAACCAAGAAAGGCCTTCCCCATTTTAGTTGTGTGCAGTAGTATTATGCAGAAACATGTATATATACCGGGACTATGTGAATGCATTGACTCCTACATAATTTAACTTCATAGAGTGTGCATAAAGCTGTATTGATGCACTCACATATGTATGTACTGTATGACTGCAATGTGGAAGGACCGGATTCCACGGCTATACAGGCAGCACTGACCAGTCTAAGGTACTTGAGGGGAAGGGAGGTGAGGTTTGAGATGGTGTCAATCCTATTGCTGGCCAGGCTGAGGTGGCTCAGTCTTGACAGGGAGTCCAGGCCAGAGATTGCTGTGATCTGGTTACCTGCAGGTGTACAACAGACAGGTGAGAGGTTTACAGTGCAGTCTGGAAGTTACAGAGGAAGTGCTGCTCTAAGGTTGCATCCATGTGAGTCAGGTTTTGGGGTATCAACCTAACCAACTACTGTGCCTGTTGCATTATTTTTCTGCTCATAAATCGAGAGATGGCAAAGGATATCAGGCTTCGGTCGTGTGGAAGGGTTGAAAAATTTGTAGCTACTTTACAAGGAGAAAAGAGAGTGAGAGGGGTCTTCTAGCATGGTTAGTTGTGTGGACACACATACAGCATGACTTGGTTGTTTGAGTGCAGAAGAGTATGGCAAAGAAAATCACTTCCCACTATTATACTTGTTAGTGACACGGCTGGCGCCAGACTGAGTGGACAATGATTGATAGGGGGGCACTTCACAGCATCGGTCTGAAAACATACCATTTGCCAGCCATCCCATTCGCTATAACATTGAGACTTGAAACTGACGGTCTGATGGATATGTTCTTGCTTATGAGATGTGAGTTCACTGCCTGCCAAGGTTCGACTCCAGCCAACACTACTTTTTTTCAGGCTCTCCATGTGAAATTTCAACTGCTCTTCTCTGGGTCACTCATGTGGCACAAGCAGTAAGTGTGGGGACTACCAGTATAAAGGTTCCGGTGGTCGAGAGATCGATCCCGGGCTGGAAGCTGGTAGGTGGTCTAGAGCACTGCCTGGGATCAGCTCTAGTTCCTCCCCTTACCCACACTGCTGCTTGACAATACTGAGTGTCCCCGCTTCACTGGGCATGATGGCCACTTGTCCAGTGGAGTTGCTTTTTTTTTAACTACCAGTCATCATTTTTTTACTTGCATTGTCTCACATTTATCGTAAATGATATTGATATAACAAGCTATAGCTAAGTTTTTTAAGGAGGTGTAAGTGCAGGTCAAGACAATTTAGAACAATGTAGTTACAAGCAAGAAAGACGATCAACAAGAGAGATGGGTGTCCTAAATTTTTTTCCCGCTACACATTACATGAAACAGCCCTGCCTTACCGTCGAGAAATAAGAGTCTGCAGGGAATGATGTGGAGAAAGATCCCCAATTTCCTCAATCTCATTATTGGAGTAATCGGCTTCCTAGAAGAGAGGACAGAAAACCATGAAGTGCAATAATAAAGTTTGACTTTTGTCCAAATTCGTAAGGAACACGTGCATGTTCTCTTCCAGCAATTAGGCAGCAGCGGTAAATGAAGCATAGAGTTGCACCGGCTTCATAGAAGAATAGAGAGAGAGGGCCAGGGTCTATTCTAGCAGCACGTCACTTCCTCTTCCCATGCTTTGTATATACTTCATTCTGGCAGCTACTTCGTCAACAGAATTATTTTCTATGCCAGCAATAAGTTCCTGGGGGTATATTAAGTACGGTGTATTACCAGTAAATTTTTGGGAGGGTTGAAGTCCAGGACAGAAGTCAGCTTGTTGTTGGAGACATTGAGGTGCGTTAGGTAAGGGAGAGTGCTCAGTTCCGACAGCTCTGCAGAAGTTAAAACAGACGTGACAGTGAGCAGAATAACTATGTATGCATCCCACTACTGGTTACAGGACTGCATAATACATACATTTACACGTGTAGGTTTTGGCCCGGATCTCTGTTCGTTCATTAGGTTATTAGGATGCCCTCGTGGCGGTCACCTGTGAGTCTGTTTGATGAGAAGTCCAGAGTGTGGAGGTGGTGGTAAGAGCCCACTAGACCGATGCCAGTCAGGCCTTGCTCCTGCACACATACACACACACTTTCTGAAACATCCGAAAAGAATAAAGGACACCTCTCTACAAAGGACACTTTGGTTTTGACCCAGACTAATACCTACATGAAACTCTTGGGCATTCTTTTAAGTACAGCTGGGTGCAAGTACACCACAATTTATGGTTACACACGCTCTTCTTTTTTTGAACGGTGATGCTATAATTAGAACTGTACCTGCTATTTGCACTTCCACATTCCAAGAGAATAGTGACTCCTGAGTTACCATGTAACGAGATACTAACAGAGGGGTAATGGTCCCTACCAATTATTTGCCTGCCTAAGCAAAACTTGTGCAATCCTTGTAAGTTAAGGAATGTCCCAAGTGGAAAATCAATCCCTCCACTGAAACTAGTACATAAGACACACATGCTAGCCTTATTTGTGAGCGAAACAAGCCTGTATGTACCTACATAGTCATCTAAATGACTGAACAAAAGATGACTTCGGGCACTTTATGTACAGTATACTCATTCTTATGTGATGCGTAATCCCAAAACTGCTGAAATTTCACACTTCTGTTCGCTTGCTGAAATGCTTTGTATTTGTCCATAGTTTAGAGGCAATGGGGTTATAGCTGTCTTATAAACAACTGTGGAGTAGTAATGTTTTAGCTAAGGTAAATGGGGGTAACTCCGGACATGGGGCGTTGCACCGGCCTCGAAATTATTCGCTGCGAAAAAAACGCAAGGAAGATTTGTTAGCACTTTGGCAGGTAGTAATCAAGTGAAATCTTTCTCTTGTTTCTGAATAGCGAGTTATGTCCAGGTGTTACCCTGTGTCCGAAGTTACCCCCATTTACCTTATATAAAACAGATTGGTACATTCAACAGATATATACATTGGGAGACACCTTGAGGGTGAGAGTAAGGAAAGTCACTCCAGTTCCATCTCCAGTCCTGCCCAGCTCTGACAGGCCTCTCTCCACCAGCTGCTGGGTCAGAGTGCCATTCTGCCGCACAATAAGAGAGTCGTTGCCGAAGCTATGGTGCGCACTATTTAGAATCATACCTGGGTTACAGGTTGTATCGAGAATGTGCTGGCGTCCAAAGCACTGAATCCACCGACTGAATAGGTATAGGGGTACGACTGGGATGGATCAAATATCTGGCCTCCGCCAATGCCCAGCTGGTGGCTCCGCCAGGAAGAGCGAGAGGTCGGGCTGTACATGGAAGCCGACATTCTCGATGTGTTATCCGGTTTCCATAGGAATAGTGCTGAAGGTTTTGCGCATGCGTAGGCGCGTTAATTACCAATCTTGACCGATCTCGCCGCTATAAAACCTCCGCAGCAGCTCTGGAGATCGTAACATCCGAGCGAAAAGCAGCCTCACAATGTCAGCTAGTGTCGGTGAGATATACGATAGTCCAAAAATTCCAGTAGACGCAGTAGCTTAGCTACTTAGAATAGCCAGCGATCGCTCAGTTGCAGCGTGCATGGCATATATAGCTTTTTTCTTTACACAGACCATTTGCCGTATGCAAGAGCTCATGATGAAAGCCGCAGCGATGTTCACCTTCCACCGCCACCTGCTGCAGCAACGTTTTATGACGGACCCAGAACCGTCTGCGTGTCCGAAGACTCTCTACCGGTCGCCTCCACGGCTCTCCAGCAGCTGTGCAGCGCGCAACAGCAGGCAGGAGATTCCGTCCAGCGCAGAGAGACCGTTACATTGGAAGAGCGTCCACCATCACTCCCTCCCCGTTCTCCCTCTCCACTCGAGAGGCCTTCATCCTCACTCTCTTCTGCCTCTGAGGAAAACTCGGAGCTTCTTTCTGGGACGAAACCACCCGGTCGGCAGCACATTCAGCGAATGTTAGAGGACCTCTTTACCTCGGACTCCAGTGATTCTGGTGAGCTCTTAAACACTAATGACCTGACGGCATATAATATACCATGCATCAATCTGTGTTTGCTATGATCAAGCAAATGTCATTGTAGTAGGAGTTTGAATTGCTAATCCCTATGGATTTCGTGCCATTAGTGTAGGAGTACACTCTGTAAATTTGACTATTCCTGACATGCAGCACTTCTAGCTATAGGTACTAGGCGAAATTAAAGGTAGGAAAAACTCACATTAATAGTAACTAATTCCTCTCCAGAGGAGAATATGGAGACAGTTTTGTCTGCTGTGTTGAAGGATCCACTTGAGAGCAGTATGGAGGGTATTGAGGACTTAGCCACCGGAATACTCCGAACTGGGAAGCTATCTGTCCAGGGAGAAGCTGGAGGTGTGTATATTATACATACTCACCAATCCTTTGTGCCAGTTAAAGTTGTTTGGCAAATAGCCTGCTATGACAGTTTTAGTCTTGGAAGCTGAAGGACTAGGTATTTTCTGAGACTGAGAAACACACAATATCCTGCTGCTATAATTATACAGATGCTTGCCTGTGTTCTTCTCAGATGTCCTGCCTATTGATACGTAATCTCAAGTTTCTTTTTCCATACAGTGAACAAATCTATTATTTCTCTCCTTATCACCGACAGATATGTCGAAACTACAGCCTATGCTGCTGGGTCTCCAAGCCTCGGAACGAGAAACGGCGACAGCTCCTCCCTCAACTGATGCAGGTCCCCTTCTTCGAGCAGGTGGAGACCGAGCACGACAGGGCTTGGATCTGGAGTGGGCAGGGACTTGTCCCCGAAGACTTCCTCGCCTGTGGGCACATCAGGCTGGGTCTCCCGATCGATATGGCTATCTACCACCTCCTTCGTAGACACTGTGCCAAGGGTGCCCGACAGGCCGAAGCCATCATCCAACTATCGCAAACAGTCGACTACATGAAGAACCTCGGTACGAACCTCCTGCCGGCTCTGATTTGCTCGGCAACCGTCCTCAGCTCACCGTCTCCACCTCTTCATGACAGGTTCATGTTTGCGGTAACGATGGGGGAGATAAACGAACAGACCGTTTCTCGGTCAAAGGGGCAGAAGGTGAGCAAGGACAGTGGCGTGGTAGGTGATAATGTCACCGACTCGAACCATTTGCAACCACCACTGAAATCCCCCACTCACAGCAGAAATGGCCTGCATAAAAACCTGAAGGACACGAGTGGTTCTTCTCTACTTTCGTGCAGCCACTCGCAAAACTCATCCACGAGTCTCATCTCTCGATCCCCTCTTTCTTCGACTTCCTCCCTGCCAATGGTTCACTCGATGTCGGTTGACACTGGTGGCGACAAAATGATGGAGGCGATCGCTGAAGCCTCTTCCCAGTCGCGCGATTCTCTCTCCCCTCTGTCTCCTGGCGGTGCTCAGCGCAGACGCAAGACAAGTCTCTACCATCCATCTTCCGTAAGTTCCGAGACATCAGACGAAAGAGTCAGCATCAGCAGCCTCCCATCGAGACTACTGTTCGACCGCAACCAGTGGAACACAACCGTTCTGGACAACAACACCATCGTGGCAATGTTCGGAGACAATACCTACCCAATGCTCACCTGGAACCCTAAACTGAGACTGGATTTTGAGATCAGCTCGCAGATGGGGCCGCCGGGAGTGGTCGTTGCCGTCGATCCAGAAACGCCCATCCTCAACGTCCGACTGCACAATCCGACACCATACCGAGTCGGGTTTTCGATCCGAGCTCATCGTCAGACAAGTGTGTACAGCTCGCACGTCATCTACCCACAGAGTGGCCTGCACATGCTGGAGAAGTCTCAGTGCTGGGAGGAGAATGCCGACATTCACCAGGACTCCCCCGACAAGAACGAGTACGTGATCGTGGAGCTCTTCTTTGCCACACTCGAGGGCGGAATGCCTTCCTGGAATGTAATCAGGAAGTACGCCGTCATGAAAGCAAACAAAAAGTGAGTCCCGTTCTTTCCTGTCATAACATGCTCAGCTCCTGTTGTTTTGACTCGAAGACTACATGACTTGACCCCCTGGTGTTTTTAGTGTAGAAACTGCGCTGTTTGCGGTGAAGGGCTATCAGATATTATCACCAAACTATCATCATTTTCAAATTGTAAATTGTGCAGGCGGCAGACCCATGGCAGACCTTCAAGAGGAAACTCCCACTTCCAGATGCCCGGAACAGCAGAGAAGAAGGTGAGACTGAGTCTAAAACAATATAAATCTCTCTTGTAACGGAAGATTTCGAGCTAATCCTTTTTCCGTGGAGTCTAAAGTTGTATCCATGAATTTCTACCCACAGTATAGCAATCCACGAGTTTCTCAGAAACATTACACCTGCCACTAAATGACAAACTTTTGTCAAATTCCCACCACACTGTATATACAGTTACCATTTCTTCTTGTCCTTTATCCTCTCTCATTCTTCTTCCACTACTCTTTGTTACGCAGCACGAGAACCTGAAGCAGGTGATAGCTCATGGGCTGCAGTGTGTGGTCAAGAACAAGCACAGTGCGGCCGAGATCATCTTCACCCAGGCCCTCTTTCTCCCAGACTTCCAGAGGATCGAACTGAAGGCATTTGTCTACATTTGTCTGGCTGTGGTGGCCTATCGCAGGCAAAAGGCCGGGTAAGCAACCTGACCCCTTTACATGATACACTTCTATCCAGAAAGTCAGAGCCACACTTATGCTGTAGATAGTAGTAGACTAGTTGTCTTGCAATGAATGGGAGGGGGCTTTATTTGGCTAACAAGCCAATGCAGAGTAAACACTACAAATAGCTACGCTACCCATCTGTTAGGATGTGGTCAATTATACACCTTCTCCCTAGTATTATTCAGTTGCCCCTAGTGAGTCCAAGAAGGAAACCATTGTTTGTGGCTGCTTTCCTGCTGAAGCATCACGCCCTAACAAAACCAACTGTTTAGTGCCATCCCTCTAGAAGCTAACTTCCTTCAGTGTATATACTCTACAAATACTGCTTGAAGTTTGTTAACCTAAACTAATGCACTTGACACATGCTTAAACTACATGCTTGTCATACTGAAACAAATCTAGTAGCCAAAAGTATGTGAGTAAGACAGCTTTCCTGGAAATGCTATTGACTGCATACTTACTGTTACAACCTGGGTACTGGTATGGTCTAATACTTTGGTCCCTGATATAATATTTTACAGGCCTTTCCTAGTCATTTCCTTCTGATATGTAGACACTCATCTTGCCCATTGCCACCAGTAATAAACCAGGTCTGCACTTAAACCTATTCATGGGAGGAGATGCATCAGTGGTGTAGTGTTGTGAGGCTAGGTGGAAAGGTGTTCTTTCGAGTTCACTATGTCAGTCCCAAGTGGCTTTTAACCTTAGGAGGGTGCATCAAAACAGTAACCACCACATACTACACGATATTATAACTGCTAGGCACTATGTCTTACTATACTTTTTGTATGTTTCACCTTCATCTCTAACTCTTCCCTTTCTTTTAACCTTGTATGCAGAGAGATAGAAAGTCTGACACATTCTCTCAACCTGGTCAACTCCGTCGACAAGTTGATTGACACGTGCGAAGCTCCCCGCACCATTCGCATGCCCCGCACCATCCAGCTGGTGAAACAGCTAAGGAAGGAGCTCAACTTCTCAGACATTGTCAGGAACATGAGGAAAAAGGGTAAAATACTATGTGTGTAAGAGGAAATCATAGTAGCAGCTGACTTTGTTGGTTTCAAGTATATAGCTCTCAGGATTTGAGTGGGTGGTTGGGTGCAGCATCCCTTTAACATACTTCTACATGTATCCCTTGGCTCAAGGGTCAAAACTACACAGTGCTTGCCTTCTTATTGTATGCGAGGCCTTTTGTCTTGTGTTTTGTTAATTTCGCATTATGCACTGACAAGTGCTATTGTTGAATCCATGTACACAAGGGTTACTACCTTTCCTACGACACAAAGGGATTAACGATACATTCTTGTCTCACTACTGTAAACATCACACTCTTTCCTACCATTTATTTCTTTTCACAGATCGCCCCAAACAGCGGAGACTGGTCCCCCACTACCACACAGAGGGCTCCACCACCCTCATGACCGAAGAGGGCGGCTTCCTCTCGCACAGATCAACAACTCTCCTAGTGCCACATGGCGCCCTACACGCACAGACGGAGGTCACTCTCTCCAGCCACGACCACAAGCAGCTCGAGGCCATGCTGGCATCCGCCGGCTGGGACAAGACTGTCTCCATCGTCTGCGCCGTCAACATCGAGTGCGAGACCTCTGCCGGGAGATTTCGGCAACCCGTCCAAGTCAGGTCGACCACTCCGGAAAAATTCACACGCAACCTCTCAATTGCTACTTCTCCTCTCCTCCTGCTGCACAGCAACTACCTGAGAAAGTGGGACGACATCACCCAGGATGCGTCGACCTCGGTATCACTGTCGGACGGTGCGGTCTCGGTCGCCACCGATCGCACAGGGTGGCTTGCCGTGGCTGTCATTGACCTAGACCGGGCTCGTGTCGCTGCCATGGCAATGCAGGCGCTGTCCATTTCCCCCGCCACATTCCAAGTGTGCATCTTTGGGCAAAGTTTCCCCGATAACGTCATGCAGATTACGGTGGCCATTTCGCCGAGCAAGGAAGAAGGTGGTGGCGGAGGTGAGCAGAAGGGCGAGAAGACATCAGATTCCTCCGAGACACACACAGGAAGTAACATGGACCACGCCAAAATCTCCTTCCCGTACCTCATCCAGGCCTATCCGGGTGAGCGACTTCGCTGCAGGCTGAAGGGGAGTTTTGAACCCGACACCGAATCGGGTGAGACCGACCTCGATTTTCGCTTCAAGGCCACCCAGTCGCACGAGTGCCTCAGCGGGAAGTTTGTCCGGCTCACTGTTCCGTTTGGGAAGGCCCGCGGGGGGGAAGATGATCATATCTCGACACGTGACGGGGGGCAGTGGTGACGACGGAGACTGTTGGGAGGACATTGCGGACGTGAGTATCCACTTGTCATCTGCTAGTACAGCCAGTGGAACAAAAACGACCAGCAAAACAAGTCGATCTAGAAAATAATTTTTACGCCGTGTTTTTTGTGTAACCAGTTTGTTCACATTTTTTGGTTTTGTTTGTTTCCTGATCTGTCACTTGAAGAAATTTATTCCCTCAAAATACAAAATTTGTGGTGCAAAACTAATGTATGGCAGTTTGAAGTGTGTCGTTATGACATTTTATGACTTATATTTTTACCGATCGTCTTAGGCATACATTGTAGCTATCGACCTTCCAACACTCTGATCAATATGTGAGGGCAGGTCGCAAGGCAGGTGTTAACTTAACACAGGGGCAATGAGACCTCACAGAGTGGTATGCAAGCAGTGTTCATAATGTGCATAGGTTCCCCCATAGCAGCAGCAGAGCTATGTGTGTGGTGAATAAATGGGAGTAGGGGGGCCAGAGGGTATTACCCAGGGTACAAATCACATTGGTATGTGTGTGTGTGTGGTGTGCAATGAACATCACACTGCTCGTGACGTAAGCATGCTGTTTATGCAAGCACATTCTTTAGTCTAGAAAATGAACAACAACACTCACACACAAATACACACAATAAAATGGAAAATATAGCACAAGAAAACACGCAACATTGAAAGTAAACAAAATTGTTGTTAGTTAACAAAACGTTTGCAGTTGACTGAGCTGTGAGCAGAGGGTTAACCGAGCTGTGGAGAGAGGGTTAACTCAGCTGCGAGAGAGCACCAGAATGGGAGAGGTCCAGTCCTGACCTCAGACCACCACTTAGCCTTGATCTGTGGATGGACATTGAGACGTGTATTGCAGTTGAACCAAACAATGTCCTAGAGAGGCTTCCCTTATTTGGCCAAATATCGGTTATACTGATTTTATCCTGAATTGTACTGAAGTATATATTATAGGGATGGGCATGGTACCTACGTAGCATAAATGTGTAAGTCTCCCCCTCTCTTTTTTTCTTTCTATTTCTGTGGTGGAATTGCTGTGGCTAAGTGAGAAAATACTGTCCAACACATGAGAGCCCTGTAGTAAAGGAATGCCTTCCCCACTATACGGCTACAGTCATTCATTTACGTATGTATGTACCACCATCTATGCAATACTTTTCCTCATCTGCAGACTTACACTATGTACAGTGGCAACTATATGCAATGCATTTTTGGCAAGCAGGCTCGGCACCCACTGGCAAGCTCAGCAACCATAAACCTTCTGATAACACAGACCATGTGTGTGTGTGTGTGTGTGTGTGCAAAATGCACTATACTGCCGTGTAATAGTGTTGGGCTGAAACAAAATGAATGGGGATATTGTAATTCAGACAACCGGCTCTGGTAATAAACACCATCAATCGAACTGCTGACATGGTAATTGTTCGTGCAGGCAAATGCAATGAAGCTGACGAACCATTCACTTAGAAATACACATAGTATGGCTGACGTAAGGTGATGTAAGGTGATGTATTCGTTTCACAATGGGCAAAGGTTCATGAGCAAGGAATTCAAACACTATAGTGTACCCGACCATGAATATAACTACCCACCAAGAAGGACTCCGTTGGGGCATTTCCTAAATTCCTACAATGGGGACTATGAATATCGTTAACACGAGTCTCCGTCACGAGGTGAATGGCGTTAGTCGAGGGTCAGTGACATTGGGGTCTGTACATTCGTTTATTTTCCGTCACTCGACTCTGACAATCCCTAGGGAAACTCATGCTTGTAACAAAATCCTAACGATTTCCAGGAGGAAGAGCCGCTAGCACGGTCCCTCGTAATTGGCGATTTGTCGAATTGAGGACCTTGCAAATGCACACAACAGACCAGTAACACTTGTGTGCCATCTGCTGATCACAGATAGCAAAAGCATTAACTTATTCAAGTCACGTATCCTTCTGCGTAGGTGTATAGTCAACAGATAAACTGCCCCTTAACCACAATCTAATTGTGAGGCTTGACAAAGTTTTGATAGCTAAGAAAACAGAGATTAGCGTCATCATTACGCACTCAGTCATGTGGCTGGAGCTGGGACTAAGGATGGGCATGGAAACAGGAGGTGATATCCAAGTGTGGAAGGAGGTACACCTGGAAACAAGTCATGAGCATCCAGGAACAGTGGATGGCACCTAGTGACCCATCGCATCCTCCCATAATAGATGTATACATATATATGTATCATTAAGGTGTCAAATATAGGAATAGGTGAACTGAACTAGCCAGAACGCTGAGCCAAAGGAGAAGGAAATTGGCGCGTCATCATTTTATTACCAAAGCACATGAAAATTACGAGCACCTTTCATATTCTGTAGCTTTTAACCCCCCCCCCTCTTCCTATATAATTCTATCTGTCTTCCCTTCCTCCCCTACTACCCCATTTCTCCCCTTCCCCCTATGCATATCTCTTCCTTTCCCTTTCTCCCTTGTATCTCTTTCTTCTCTCATTCCGCTCCTCTCTCTCTCTCTCTCACTTTCTTCTTTCTCCTTCCTCAACCTCTATAATCTCACAATTGAAGGGACATCTCCTGGTTGTCTTCATCTCCTCCACTTGCAGTCTGACGGCCGGAGGAGAGGTGAGAGGAGGTGGAGAGAGAGGGAGAAAATGGCACAAGAAAGCTCAGTACCCCACTGAGAGGGTAGGCCCATGAGGTGGAGGCTGGGTGCTTGCCTCCACTGTGGGACGTGAACCGATAGTCTGTTGGGATGTAGTGGCCTCGGGACACTTCTTGGGTACACTTATCAACCTGGGGGAAGGAGGACGGAGTGAGGGAAAGAAGGAGGGATAGAAGGAAGAGGGGGGGGGAGAGATGAAGGAGCAGGGCGAGGATAGTAGAAAAGAAGAGAGGGAGTAAGAGAAATAGGAGGTAATGTGCAACTGAAAGTCGAGGGGGGGGAGGAATTATACAGCTGTTAAATCAAAGAGAAAGTTAGAATGATGAAAATACATTCCGATATTGTAGAATAGGTTTAGGTGATGTAACTATATACACATACGTACTTGCTTCAAGAAGTCTTTCTTTGTTGTTCCATATCCATTGAATACACTGTCAGCGTACACTAGTCGACCTCCAACATACATCTGGATACAGGGATAGTACACATAATACAGTCGACCTCCAACATACATCTGGATACAGAGATAGTACACGTAATACAGTCGACCTCCAACATACATCTGGATACAGAGATAGTACACATAATACAGTCAACCTCCAACATACATCTGGATACAGAGATAGTACACGTAATACAGTCGACCTCCAACATACATCTGGATACAGAGATAGTACACGTAATACAGTCGACCTCCAACATACATCTGGATACAGAGATAGTACACGTAATACAGTCGACCTCCAACATACATCTGGATACAGAGATAGTACACGTAATACAGTCGACCTCCAACATACATCTGGATACAGAGATAGTACACGTAATACAGTCGACCTCCAACATACATCTGGATACAGAGATAGTACACATAATACAGTCGACCTCCAACATACATCTGGATACAGGGATAGTACACGTAATACAGTCGACCTCCAACATACATCTGGATACAGGGATAGTACACGTAATACAGTCGACCTCCAACATACATCTGGATACAGAGATAGTACACGTAATACAGTCGACCTCCAACATACATCTGGATACAGAGATAGTACACGTAATACAGTCGACCTCCAACATACATCTGGATACAGAGATAGTACACGTAATACAGTCACCTCCAACATACATCTGGATACAGAGATAGTACACGTAATACATACGTCAGTCGACCTCCAAGACACGCAATACATACACCATAGGTGTGGGCATCTCCAGCGAAAGAGTATTAAACCGAAATTGATCCGTTTTCGGTTCACAAAGCATGTGTGTGCCGTAATAAAACTGTTTGTAGGTACATATGCCCACACAAACCGACAGAGACTTCATGTGTGCACACGTGCGTGTATCGTATTGTGAAAATGGTTTCTTTGGCTATTGTTACACGTGTTGTGAGAGAAAACCCCCCTATAGCAGTAAGTTGATACCGCATAGGTGCTCCTATTCGTTTTCTAGCTGCAATGTCAACAGACATACTAGGCAATTAGAGACAACCGGTGAATATTTGTCCCATACTGGAACAGATTGTCTATAATTATAGCTTTTCGGGCAGTATGTACACATATATAGGTGCGGGATGCATACCAATATAATATTGTGACTAAACTTCCACTGATGTGTGTGTATTCATCTGTGAGAATAAATGTGAGCAACTTGGCAAATTCTAATTTTGATGCACATCTGGGATGAATACGGCTCACTCTTTTAATACATACATAAGTACAGATTGCTTTAATTAAATGTTTCTGGTATGTGGTTGGATTTCGTCTCGGGAGCTCACCAGGAACATTCCGGGCCAGACTCCATGTCTCTCTGCCAGTAGAGGTGTAGTTCTGTTTGTTCCTGACAGCGAGTGGCTGAGATCATACTTCAGCACTCGAAACTGATCTCCCATAGACTGCACACATACAGTGACAGCACAGGTTCACAACACATACAGATATATAGCACTGGTTTACATTAATCACAGGTTCAAGACACATTTAGATATATAGCACTGGTTTACATTAATCACAGGTTCACAACACATTTAGATACCGCAGGTTTGTTACACATACAGATACGTAGCACTGGTTACAGGGTCCCAACAAGTACGTAGCACTGGTTACAGGGTCCCAACAAATACATGCAGTACCATACAAATATGAAGCACTGGTTACAGGGTCCCAACAAGTACGTAGCACTGGTTACAGGGTCCCAACAAATACATGCAGTACCATACAAATATGAAGCACTGGTTACAGGGTCCCAACAAGTACGTAGCACTGGTTACAGGGTCCCAACAAGTACGTAGCACTGGTTACAGGGTCCCAACAAATACATGCAGTACCATACAAATATGTAGCACTGGTTACAGGGTCCCAACAAGTACGTAGCACTGGTTACAGGGTCCCAACAAATACATGCAGTACCATACAAATACGTAGCACTGGTTACAGGGTCCCAACAAATACATGCAGTACCATACAAATATGTAGCACTGGTTACAGGGTCCCAACAAGTACGTGCAGTACCATACAAATATGTAGCACAGGTTCACAATGTACAGTATGCTACCATATACAGATGGCACACTATAACCTGGTACGTTCACATACACAGGTTCACAATGTACAGTATGCTACCATATACAGATGGCACACTGTAACCTGTACGTTCACATACACAGGTTCACATCATCCCTAAACAGTCACAAACCTCCTAGGCTATGGTTGAATGGTTTAGGGTATATATGTAATACGATGTTAACCTGAGTGCAGGGTGAAAACCGCTGTCTGTTGAAGCTGTAGTGAAGTGCGTCCAACATAGGTTCACACGGACACGATCCCTCCACACTGAAGTAAGTATACACACATTATACGTAGTAGCACACTGCAGCAAACACACACATGTAATAACCACTGTACATCGGGGCACTTAAGGAGAACTTTTTAGCCATCTACAATTTTTTATGTGGAAAATTTTGTGAGTGGGAAGATTGCAGCAAGGGAAGGGCAATTCTTGAATTCGTTTGCTACTGAATGGAGAAAACTTTCCTCCCTCAAACTTTCCCCTCTTTTGTTGGAACCCCTCTAATCAGGGCTCCAACGGGACAGAAATAAGGGTCCATACAAGAGCTAAGAGGCTTAGGCTGGGTTCACAATAATGTCGCATTGGCCCGTCACGCCGTGCCGCGTTGCCGTGCCGTGAGAATAGACTCCATTTCTATCTTAGCTTTAGAGGCGTATGTATTAATTTCAGGGGTAGGGTTCCACTGTAACGGTATACGTATTTCGCAGTGGAGGTATATATATGTGATACATTGGTTTGTGTGTATGGAAGTAATGAATAGGGTGCCACTTACACTGACGAGAGGACACACACAACGACCACTTGTGAGCTGGGGACGTGAGACGAGAGGAATGCGTCGTATTCCAGATCACAGACGTAGGGTGGTCTTCTCTTGTCACACCTGTACATGTAAGGGAACTAGGGTTACTTGAACCAACGATAAACAGAGAAATAGAGTGTCTTGGCTGTTATGGTTAAACAGTGGGACCTCCAATAATGAACTCCTCAAACTACGAAAACCTCTCTATTATATACACATAGAAAACATCCGAATAATGAAGAGAAATTGCTTCCCAAATATTATTATTCGGAGGGATATAAGTGAGAAGTTTTGTATTCCAGCTCATATCCACACACAGTTTTGGCACCACCCAACTAGCGAGATACGACAAGCGAAAATTTTATTTTTCTTTCAAGGAATGCAAAAAGCTGTCTGAAAATTCCGAGTAATTGTGTTTATACCATCTCAAGTGACACATTGCAGTGCATTAAAATACACTGCAATAAGTGAGCAGCAAGCCAGCAGGAAGTGGGATCACCGATGTTTCGTTTGACTAGACATTTGTTAAGTTAAGAGTTTGGGGGAGTTGGTGTCAGTTAGTGTAGGAGGACCAACCACAACTTTCACTAACCATAATTGTGCACGATGTAATGATGGGCTAATTCACAAAGGACTCTTGCGCAGGAGCCGGTGGTGTCGTGTGACGTTATGAAGGATTGCATCACTTTTATCCTCTCTACATTATGTCGCACGTAAGAACTGTCTGACGTTTCAGAATGTCATGTGACGCCACATTGTGTGTTGTGTCACAAGCTAATGTGACAATTGTCAACAAGGAACCCTAATTACCCTAATTATCTGGATCCAGTTTTTTGTGTATTGCGTAACTTCAAATATCAAAGTAAAGGTGAGAGTGCAGGCAGAACCTACGCATACTTCTACTCATAAACAGTGGGCATTGGGAAATTAGCACAAACACTGCAATTCCACTGTAACAAAACAGTGTAATTTGTCACTAATTGAGGGGCAAATGTTTTCAACATTTGGTTGACACCCTCCAAGTAACCTGAGATGGGGAGGACAGGAAGTCAAAATATCGCGGTTCGGTGATTATTTTGTGGAATTTTAATCAACTCATCACGCTCTCAGTATTATAATAATAGACTGTGGTATTTCGGGTAAGGTGCAGTGATTGGACTGCTGCGCATAGAGTGGTATTTGTAGTCGATGTGTGTAGGTATAGACAGGCGTCTGCGGTTCAAATCCTGGAATGCCGCCCTTTTATCTATTGCTGCTGATTTGTCAGGTAGGTACAGGGTGTGGAATGATGTATAGAGCTATAGATACAGAGCTGGAGTGGTGTCTGACCTATAATATAATTATCATGCTGATGTGGTAAAATGAGACCATGCACCTTTTTTTGTATGTGTAATATTATACAACCCCCACTCAGTGGCTAACTACTTAGGCTGCTCCTTTAATTAAACTTACTTGCATGGTGACATTGTGGCGAAGTTCTTCAGCAGAAGATTGTGTAGAGCCCTGTCATTTCATCCACGGTTAAGTCAATAGTACGAGGTGTTACTGTAATTCAGTGTGCATCTAAAAAATAGGGAAATAGGGAAGAAAGAGAAAGAGAGAGGAAGACAGGGGATGGGGGATGAGCGACCGAAAAAAGGGAGTGAGAGAGAAGAAAAAGGAACAAGGGAAGGGGAGAATGACAGGAAGATACACCGGGCAGCCTCGGCTCTTCCCGGGTACAGAGCTGCTTCGTCCGCGGACCTTCCCTCCTCCCCTCGACCTTTGGCCTCTTGGTCTCTCAGGCCCACTGTCGAGGAAGGAAGGGCACAAAAAGTCCGTTAATCGACAGCACACACATTAATCTTGCTTTCAAGTGAACGATCTCGAGGGACCAGGAACTGGAGGTCCATTGACATTGAAAATTGCTTAGTTATGAATGGCATGCTGAATGCTGCACTGACACTATCATAGATATTTGTGTCAAAGTAGGAAAAGAATGCACATAGCACGATGTTCGCCTCATTCCATGACTTAATTGTTTGTGAGTCTACGTGTATACCCACCATGCAATCTTGCACTTTGAAATGTGCCCGTTTTTGCTAGCTACTGTGTACAACACACTGCATGTGTGTGTGGTGTGTATTATAGATCTCAATGCTTCGACATTGCTTTACCAGTCAAAAACAGACGGTGGAGTGAGTGAAGGAGAAATAGGTGTGGTCTCTCGCAGCACTGAGTCCATGTTCTCTCCTCCCTCGGGGCTAGCTTGGGGTGACCTCTGACCTCCAAACGGTGAGGCCACTCGCGAGGGGAGCGGATGAGTGTGGAACCTTGTAGATTGGGAGATCGGACGCGAGTGCATGAGTTCACCTGTGGAGAGAACATTAACTACCATTTTGTTTCTGAAGTGAATGTAGAATAGAAAGCTCGTGAGAAGTTGTTGAAAAGTGCTGCGCACCATATATTGCCCACCCCAAAACAAAACCTTTCTCTGATATTCAATAGACCAGTATCCTGGAGGAAGCAAATATCAAAGGTTTATTCTTATATTTCAAAGACTGGCACAGCACAAAAATCCTTGGGGATAGGTTAATGTGAGATGTCACATGGCGTGTACAAATGATGCCAGTATTAACTATTGCGCAGACCGGTATAGCTCCTGCAGGAGGTGAGCCTCAGAGGAGTTGCAAGGAGACAGCCTCCGGGAGAGGGAGAGGAGGAGCGAGAGAGGGATGCCCGGAGGTGGGCTGGGATACTGATACCCATGACCTGACGATAGTGACTCATCCACTCATCCACTGTGCTCCTATGTGTACATAATGCGTTGGTGAGCAACTGTGCGATTTTTCTTAATAATGGGGGGCCCTCGGAAATGCCTGAAATGAGGCCACCTCTCTGATAAGGACACCGTTTCTTTTCCCAAGAGCAGTTTCTTGCAAAAGGACACCTTACTAGTATGGACATACTACGGCATGCGAATACTTTCTCGATGTATTTCTTATTGAGGGGTGTAGAGTTGGCTCACCTGAAGTTATTTCCCCATCCCCTCCCTCCCTGGCGTACCTGACTCTGTCTCGGTAGTGAGTCAGAGTTTTGTCCAGGCTTGTGAGGTCCATCTGTCTGGCCACCTCCTCTTCCGCCTCATCTCCGACTGCCAGACTCACACTGCGACTGCGACCCACCACGTGTTCCTATGGGATGTATATATAGGAGGGAGACATACGCAGAGTTATGTGGGAGGAGGTGGGAAGTTACTTTGCCAATGATGGGGTACTAATAGTTTCAACCTACAATCTGTGGAACAGAATGCCAGCAGCGGAAAAGGAACCCTAGGCACACACTGAAATGCTTTTGTAGTATACCACAACTTGATGCTGGCATACTAGCATTCGATTTTTGCTTCTTTAAAACGACACTGGACTCTATGAATCCCCACCGCATAATACATCTGTGACGAACCATTTTTGCCTCATTACCGTGTTTCTCTTCAAAACCTTCTTGGCTTTCTGTTGTGGTTTGGCAGTAGATGGAGGAGACGTGGCCACTGGCTGGGTGTGGGCTCGAGCCGTGTCAGAGATAAACTCCAGTCCTGACTGCAGAGTATGGTCACCACCATCTCCTGTCTGTAGAGAGTGAGAGAGGTAAATGGAGAGGAGGGTGGGAAAGAGAGGGAGGAGAGGGCAGGCAGTCTAGACCCTAAGAAGTAATGCAAACGGCTGAGATTAAGGGCTGGACAGATTTACAGAAACGTAGCTATAGATTCAAGATGTGTGATAGACTAAAAGGTGCACAAACATTTGCACAACAGTATCCTATATTGCGAAAACTGCCCATCCCTGCACATCAGGATCTTGTGCCATGCTGTTTATTATTTTTGTCCGAAATCTCCACATGTACCTTCTCAACTGGCTGGGAACCTTCCACAGTGGTTGGAGGGCTGACGTTGAACTTGTAGGTCTGTCCCCTGCATGAGAACCTGAGGACCATGTTGGCGGGTCCGGTGCAGTGGAAGGACAGACAGGGGTTCAGTTGTATGGAGACTGATGCCTTGTCACTGGCCCATAGACTCTTTCGTGTGATGTGTCCATCCTATACAAGATTATACTCTCTTATGCACAGTGGAAAGGAGAACCTTATTCTTAGGAAATGTACATATGTGTGTTTGCACTTTAACTAGAGACTATGCTAATCCTTATCCTTTTCTTTTTCTGGTGAGAGAGACGTATAATTATGGGGAATGTTGAGAGCTTTGTACCACCTGTAGCCGACTTGGAGTTGAACGTCGTATTGCAAGCTTACCTCATTGTACATTCGAAGCTCAGTAGTGTCATAGAACATGTGGAGGGTGCAGGCTGGTCCCGGGTAGTAGCACCAGCCGCTGCCCTCGGGAGTGAAGCAACCCAGCACAGAGTTGGCCTCTGTGTCATCGTAGGCCACGGTGTAGAGTCCGCTGGATTCCTGGTCAGCTCGGCTCTGGCACACTGCCTGCCGCTGACCACACCTGCTGTGATAGCTGGAGAACCAAGAGTCAGGGAAACTCACAGAGCATATTACACCAAGGCTTGAGAGCTATCAAATGTGTACACAGAGCATATATAGTAAGAGTCTGTTGATTCCTGGCTACACAGAGGCTTCTGGAATTGAGGGAATAGCCTAACTATTCACACAGGAAGACATTGGGGATTTACAAAAATGAAAACCACTATATACTCTTTTCTTTTACTCTCTCTTTTCAATTCTGGTATACACTTTCACGTAAGCCAGATATGTGTCTACTGACTCCAAATATAGTATTATGCAGGATACTTGGCATGGCCAGAACCATCGGGCATGATGAGAACAGCCAGTTCCGCTCCTTCCCCAATCATCATGACATCACCACTTGCCACCCCGGGGGTCGTGAAATTTGCCACGCTGGGGGGAAGTCTGTTGAGGACGGCAGGCAGGGGGAAGGTGGCAGAGCGCTGGTGCTTGGATCGGAGGCTTCGTGTTTGGGGGTCACTGTAGAATTTCACTATTAGGGGGCCGTCTGCGTTTCTCTGCTTTGCCAGCATCTTCTCTTCTTCTCTGAGGTTGGGCAGAAACAAAACATACTCTAGCTTGAAAGCTACATACAACTTGATACATTTGACTTAGGGGCAATACACAAGTTCGCACAGGGGAGCAATAATTTGTCAAAAGAAGTGTTATCATTTCGTCCAATATCCCCCAGAGGCTCCGGCAGCCAGCATTTCCTTTCCAAAGCTGGTTACGTGCATGCTAACCTTTTCCTGAGTCTCTCTTTGGATTTCCTGTCCCAGATACGCAGTGTTGCCATCTCTGGGTCCTTGATCTCCTCAGCATGCACCACCCATCCTGCATACAAGTCAATTTACACTGACCTACTGCACTGCAATACTTCCCCACACACTTTCCCGTATTATAAGAAGGTATCATTCTAGTCAACAACGAGCCTGCGCAAGGTAAAAACATTTCAATCAGGACAACGCTGGAAAGAGTTTCCTGGGTGAAAAATGCTGGGGGTCCTTTGATAGGAGACATAATTATTTCTCACGTGCAGTAGAATCTGGCAATTACCATGTGAATGTGTATCTTACTTACACACAGACCATGAATATATTATACGACCCCACTGCTGCGAAAGAGAATATCTTTCTGACTTTATCTTACTTTACTTTACCTTTATCTTGAGTGTCAGAGCCAGTGAGTGAGAAGTTGAGGATGGCGGGAGCTGTTTGCGACGGCATGCTCAGTCGCCGGGAGAGGCTAGCTGGAGAGTGGCCACCAATCGCAGTAGATGGACGACGATGACCTGAAACATAGTGTACAAAGTTGTGCCCATAGCTAGCTTTGTTCAAAAAATGTTTTCAAATGGGGAAATGCTTGACGACTAATGCCAATGTACAGTACTATTGTAGTGTCAACCTCTATTGGTGCTTACCAGTTACTGGTGCCTTGGAAGAAGCTTGTGGCTCCGGATCAATTTTTACCGACTCTACAATATTGTGAGGACAAATGACATAAAA